GTAAAAAGCAACCAGAGAATGTCAACCCTAGAGCTGTTTTTGCAAGCAATGAACTAGATCTTCGAGACATTAAAGTCTATGGCTTCGACTATGACTATACTTTAGCACATTATGAAGAAGCAGTTGAACACCTAATATATGATCTTGGAAAAAATGTTTTGATCTCCAAATACAGGGTGAGTATATGCTTTGTAAATGATTTATAAAGTATGTACAAGACAGGGAAATATACGGGAGTATAGAAGTCTCAACACTTACTTGGGTGTGAAGCATGGGTCATTTACCTGGACCTGGGTTGTGAATGTTGTGGTAAGGAGGAGGCAGGAGGCATTGTTGTATCTGAAGGCAGTGTTATGTCATGATGATAGGGCTTTTTCTTCTGCCACCAGATATATCAAAGGGAGTGTCTTGCTTCTCATATGTCTGCTGAGAAAGTGAGGAGCCAGGTCTTGGTTTGAACTCAGCTCACCAGATGGTAGCACCAGGCCTAGGCAGCATGGCACAAAATACAAGCACAACACAGATTACAATATGTGGTGTAAATATTATACAGAATTCATAATTTGGAGATTAAGAGGAGGTTATTGATGTGGTTTGGATATTTAGAGAGGAAGGGGCAACAGTAGGATGACTGGGAGAGTGTATAAATTTGTAGTGGAGGGAAGGCAGGGTAGGGGTCACCTTAGGAAAGGTTGGAGGGAGTAAATGAGGTTTTGTATGCAAGGGGCTTGGACATCCAACTGTCAGTATAGCCACTGAACTCCCTATACGTATACTTGTGTAGTACAGTGGACCCCCGCATAACGATATTAATCCGTTCCTGAGAGCTTATTGTTATGCGAAATTATCGTTATGCGAATGAATTTTCCCCATAAGAAATAATGGAAATCAAATTAATCCGTGCAAGACACCCCAAAGTATGAAAAAAATTTTTTTTACCACATGAAATATTAATTTTAATACACACAAACTGAAAAAGGCATGCACAATTACATGACACTTACCTTTATTGAAGATCTGGTGATGATTGATGGGATGGGAGGAGGAGAGAGTCTTAGTGTTTAGAAGGGAAATCCCCTTCCATTAAGACTTGAGGTGTCAAGTCCTTTTCTGGGGTTACTTCCCTTCTTTTAATGCCACTAGGACCAGCTTCAGAGTCACTGGACTTCTGTTGCACAACATATCTGTCCATAGTGGCCTGTACCTCTCATTCCTTTATGACTTCCCTAAAGTGTTTCACAACATTGTCAGTGTAATAGTCACCAGCACGGCTTGCAATAGCTGTGTGAGGGTGATTTTCATCCATAAAGGTTTGCACTTTAAGCCACATTGCACAGATTTCCTTAATCTTTGTAGTAGGCAACTTCAATTTCTCTCTCCCCTCCTCTGAACCAGTTTCCTCAGGTCTGGCCTCTTGCTGTTGAAGTCGATCTAGCAGCTCATCAGTGGTTAGTTCTTCATTGTCCTCCTCCACCAACTCTTCCACATCATCCCCACTAACCTCCAACCCCAAGGACTTTCCCAATGCCACAATGGATTCCTCAACTGGCATACTCCTCTCAGGGTTAGCCTGAAACCCTTCAAAATCCCTTTGGTCTACACATTCTGGCCACAGTTTCTTCCAAGCAGAGTTCAAGGTCCTCTTAGTTACTCCCTCCCAAGCCTTACCTATAAGGTTTACACAATTGAGGATATTAAAGTGCTCTCTCCAAAACTCTCTTAGAGTCAATTGAGTTTCTGAGGTCACTACAAAGCACCTTTCAAACAGAGCTTTTGTGTACAGTTTTTTGAAGTTTGCAATAACCTGCTGGTCCATGGGCTGCAGGAGAGGAGAGGAGTGGTATTAGGAGGCAAAAACTTCACCTTAATGAAGCTCATGTCCCCATAAAGTCGCTCTGCCATGTCTGTAGGATGACCAGGGGCATTGTCTAACACCAGGAGGCACTTAAGGTCTAATTTCTTTTCAGTTAGGTAATCTTTCACATTGGGGGCAAATGCATGGTGTAACCAGTCATAGAAAAAGTCCCTAGTGACCCATGCCTTACTGTTTGCCCTCCACAGCACACACAAATTAGCCTTGAGGACATTGTTTTTCCTGAACACTCTGGGAGTTTCAGAGTGATACACCAATAAAGGCTTCACTTTGCAATCACCACTTGCATTGGCACACATCAACAGAGTAAGCCTGTCTTTCATAGGCTTATGTCCTGGGAGTGCCTTTTCCTCCTGAGTAATGTATGTCCTGTTTGGCATTTTCTTCCAAAACAGGCCTGTTTTGTCACAATTTAACATTTGTTCAGGTTTGAGTCCTTCACTGTCTATGTACTCCTTGAATTCCTGCACATATTTTTCAGCCGCTTTGTGGTCCGAACTGGCAGCCTCACCATGCTTTATCACACTATGTATGCCAGTACGATTCTTAAATCTCTCAAACCAACCTTTGCTGACATTAAATTCACTCACATCATCACTAGTTGCAGGCATTTTTCTAATTAAATCGTCATGCAACTTCCTAGCCTTTTCACATATGATCGCTTGAGAGATGCTATCTCCTGCTATCTGTTTTTCGTTTATCCACACCAATAACAGTCTCTCAACATCTTCTATCACTTGCGATCTCTGTTTCGAAAACAAACTTGCACGTATAATTTGTTGAAGTCATTACAAGGGATTATGTATACCCCTGCAGAGGGTGGAAGCTTGTCCTGTCTATCACTGGTAATGTCCTTGATGGTCGTGGTTGTGGTTGGAATGAGGTATTGGAAAAGATGTTGGAAACATGTTTGGCAATGGAGATACATAGTCCTCCCCACCAACTCCATTGCCAAACACATTTCCAACATCTTTTCCAATACCTCATTCCAAGTATCTACCTCCACAACCACGACAATCAAGGACATTACCAGTGATAGACAGGACAAGCTTCCACCCTCTGCAGGGGTATACATAATCCCTTGTAATGGCTGCAACAAATTATACGTGGGCGAAACATCAAGAGACCTCCAAGCACGTATTTCAGAACACCAATACGCAAGCAGGTCTGACGGTACAAGGAATGCCTGTGTACAACACCGTATTTCACACAACCACTTGATAAACTACAGAAACTTAAGACTTATTGCCACAGAAGACAATACTCAATACCGAAGAATCCTGGAATCATTGCTTATTTCTGTATCCGACAACTTCAACAAGGATAGTGGCTTCTATAACATAGCTGAACCACTTGCGAAGAAACTTCTTCATCGCTATCCCACATAAGAGCATAGGAATGGAAGAACACTGCAGAAGGTCTGCTCACAAACTTATCCAATCTCCCTTCCAAGCTACCCAAGATTTTAGACTCTATAACCCCACTCGGTACATCATCAGATGCAGCATTCTCCACCTGACCTTAGCATTCTGAACCTGACTATAAATACTCGCATACCCCAGGTAGATCTGTTTGTGACTTGAAAAAGCCCACTGTGTGGGTGAAACATTGTCAATAAAGGATCACATTATACTGCATATGTGTTTATATTTCCAAATATAAGTGTAAATATAAAAGGACCCCAATGGAAATACAGTGGACCCCCGCATAGCGACCTTAACCCTTTCAGGGTCCAAGACCCAAATCTGGAGTCACGCACCAGTGTCCAAGAATTTTCAAAAAAAAAAAATTTTATTTTTTCTTCTGAAATCGTAGAGAATCTTTTTGTGAAGGTAATAAAACAAAAAGTACGAAATTTGGTGGAAAATTGACGAAATTATGCTCTCGCGAATTTTGATGTGTCAGCGATATTTACGAATCGGCGATTTTGCCGACTTTGACTCCCATTTTAGGCCAATTACATTATTCCAATCAACCAAATTCTTAGCTATTTCACTAGTATTACTTCTATTGTATCGACTGAGCACAAGAAATCGCCAAGTCAACTGTTTCAACTACAAAATAAAGTGATCGGAAATTGTTAATTTGGCCAATTTAACACAAAGTTCAAAATATTCCAATTTCAAAATAGGGTCCAGAATGAACAATGTAGGCATTCCTGGCACTAAACTAACATTTCCTCTGTTCATTAGTTATGTTTTGAGGCTTTACAAATAAATTCCATTTTGATTTTTTATTCACATAATGAATTTTTATTCACACCAAAAAATAGAAGATTTACTGTTATGCAATACTGTAATAATTGTATAAATATCATCACCATATTTGTGAATGTATATTAGACCCACCAGCTGAAGTGTATTAGACGTGTGAGGTCGTTTCTTTACTCTTGAATATCGGCAAAAATTTAACATTTCTGCTACTTTGAGCTCAGTTTCAAGCCATTTCCAGTGCTAAAACCAATCAAAATCATCTCTATTTCTGTAATATGTCTTCCATTCTATCAAATGAGACCATGAAATCGCAAATACAACTATAAAAAACATACGAAAAAACACTGCAAAGTTGCTGTTTTAATCGAAAAATCATGATTTCATTTTTTTTCTCTCATTATACACAGTGTGCTGCAGGATCTGTTTTATGTGGTGCACACATACCACATAGATGTATTCTCTCATATCTAGGCCCAAATGTACCACTCACAGTTTATCAGAGTGAGCTGAGCTCATGGCGTAGATCTACGGTTTGGACCCTGAACGTAAAGCCGTAGATCTACGGGACGGACCCTGAAAGGGTTAATCCGTGCAAGAGGGCTGGTTGTTATGCGAAATGTTCGGTATGCGAATGAATTTTCCCCATAAGAAATAATGGAAATCAAATTAATCCGTGCAAGACACCCAAAAGTATGAAAAAAAATTTTTTTACCACATGAAATGTTAATTTTAATACACACAAACTGAAAAAGGCATGCACAATTACATGACACTTACTTTTATTGAAGATCTGGTGATGATTGATGGGATGGGAGGAGGGGAGAGAGAGTGTTAGTGTTTAGAGGGGGAATCCGCTTCCATTAAGACTTGAGGTGTCGAGTCCTTTTCTGGGGTTACTTCCCTTCTTCTTTTAATGCCACTAGGACCAGCTTCAGAGTCACTGGACTTCTTTCGCACAACATATCTGTCCATAGTGGCCTGTACCTCTCGTTCCTTTATGACTTCCCTAAAGTGTTTCACAACATTGTCAGTGTACAGGTTGCCAACACGGCTTGCAATAGCTGTGTGAGGGTGATTTTCATCCATGAAGGTTTGCACTTCAAGCCACTTTGCACAGATTTCCTTAATCTTTGTAGTAGGCAACTTCTTCAATTTCTCTCTCCCCTCCTCTGAACCAGTTTCCTCAGGTCTGGCCTCTTGCTGTTGAAGTTGATCTATCAGCTCATCAGTGGTTAGTTCTTCATTGTCCTCCTCCACCAACTCTTCCACATCATCCCCACTAACCTCCAACCCTAAGGACTTTCCCAATGCCACAATGGATTCCTCAACTGGCATAATCCTCTCAGGGTTAGCCTCAAACCCTTCAAAATCCCTTTTGTCTACACATTCTGGCCACAGTTTCTTCCAAGCAGAGTTCAAGGTCTTCTTAGTCACTCCCTCCCAAGCCTTACCTATAAGGTTTACACAATTGAGGATATTAAAGTGATCTCTTCAAAAGTCTCTTAGTCAGTTGAGTTTCTGAGGTCACTACAAAGCACCTTTCAAACAGAGCTTTTGTGTACAGTTTTTTGAAGTTTGCAATAACCTGCTGGTCCATGGGCTGCAGGAGAGGAGTGGTATTAGGAGGCAAAAACTTCACCTTAATGAATTTCATGTCCCCATAAAGTCGCTCTGCCACGTCTGTAGGATGACCAGGGGCATTGTCTAACACCAGGAGGCACTTAAGTTCTAATTTCTTTTCAGTTAGGTAATCTTTCACATTGGGGGCAAATGCATGGTGTAACCAGTCATAGAAAAAGTCCCTAGTGACCCATGCCTTACTGTTTGCCCTCCACAGCACACACAAATTCTCCTTGAGGACATTCTTTTGCCTGAACGGTCTGGGAGTTTCAGAGTGATACACTAATAAACGCTTCACTTTGCAATCACCAGTAGCATTGGAACACATCAACAAAGTAAGCCTGTCTTTCATAGGCTTATGTCCTGGGAGTGCCTTTTCCTCCTGAGTAATGTAGGTCCTGCTTGGCATTTTCTTCCAAATCAGGCCTGTTTCATCACAATTAAACACTTGTTCAGGTTTCAGTCCTTCACTTTCTATGTACTCCTTGAATTCCTGCACATATTTTTCAGCTGCTTTGTGGTCCGAACTGGCAGCCTCACCATGCCTTATCACACTATGTATGCCACTACGCTTCTTAAATCTCTCAAACCAACCTTTGCTGGCCTTAAATTCACTCACATCACTAGTTGCAGGCATTTTTTTAATTAAATCCTCATGCAACTTCCTAGCCTTTTCGCTTATGATCGCTTGAGAGACGCTATCTCCTGCTATCTGTTTTTCATTTATCCACACAAATAAGAGTCTCTCAACATCTTCCATCACTCGCGATCTCTGTTTCGAAAACACAGTTAAACCTTTGGCAAGAACAGCTTCCTTGATTGCCTTTCTGTTGCCCACAATAGTAGAGATGGTTGATTTGGGTTTCTTGTACAACCTGACCAGGTCGGCGACACGCACTCCACTTTCATACTTATCAATGATCTCTTTCTTCATCTCTATTGGAATTCTCCCCCTTATTGCTGTAGGGTTGGAACTAGCTTTCTTGGGGCCCATGGTCACTTATTTTCCAGATAAAGCACCGAAAACACTGTAATAATACGAAATATTCCGATTGTATGCTTGGATGTTACCACGGAGGCTGGCTGGTAAACAATGCCACCGGCGGAACATATGAGGCTGGCTCAGGCCGCACATTGGACGCGTCTCGGACGAAGGGCGGTGAGCGGGTTTTTGGGCGGTATGCGAGGCAAAATTTTAGCGATCAAAGCGTCCGGTATGCGGATTGTATGGTATGTGATGCGTACGGTATGCGGGGGTCCACTGTAAGTCACTCTGACTTTTTTGGGTTATCCTAGGTACTCTATACATATGCTGCTATGTATGATAATCTATGTATGTAACTATTTGTGTATACCTGAATAAACTTACTTATTTATAAATTAAAATGTAAATTTCTTTCTTTCAACACACCGGCCGTATCCCACCGAGGCGGGGTGGCTCAAAAGGAAAAACGAGTTTTTCCTTTTACATTTAGTAATACATATACTGTATACAGGAGAATGGGTTACTAGCCCCTTGCTCCCGGCATTTTAGTCGCCTCTTACAACACGCATGGCTTACGGAGGAAGAATTCTGTTCCACTTCCCCATGGAGGTAAGGGGAAATAAATAAGAACAAGAACTAGAAAGAAAATAGAAGAAAACCCATAGGGGCGTGTATATATGCTTGTACATGTATGTGTAGTGTGACCTAAGTGTAAGTAGAAGTAGCAAGACGTACCTGAAATCTTGCATGTTTGAGACAAAAGACACCATCAATCCTGCCATCGTGTAAAACAATTACAGGCTTCCGTTTTACATTCACTTGGCAGGACGGTAGTACCTCCCTGGGCGGTTGCTGTCTACCAACCTAGAAAATGTAAATATTTCTTATTTATAAATTAAAATGTAAATATTTTTTATTTATAAATTACATACATTGTTTAAGTGTGAATAATGGTGGTGGCTTCTGCTGCAGCCTCCACCATCACTAATATGTACAGCTTCTCTCAGTGGCCCTTTAAAACCCAACAACACCACCACCACCTCCACTTACTACTCACGTACATTATGACATATTTTATTCATTCTAGACTATATATCATGTTTCTGTGTTATTAATATTGTTTATTATGTTATCTTAGATGAATTGTGATAGATAAATAAGCCGTAGAGATGATATTAGCGTCGTATTGAAGCATAATAAACTCGTCTTCCTCTCGCCTCCTACCTGTCTTCCATACACCAACAAGAGTCAATAAAGGTTAGTGTGATGTTAAGTGTTCATTTATTCATTTTGTTAGTGCTTTATATTTATTTGTCGTTGTTTTCTGTATGTATATCTATATTTAATCTTAAAAAAAAAAATATTTTTTGTTAATACTTTTGGGTGTCTGAAACAGATTAATTGGATTTTCATTACACGAATTTCTTATGGGAAAATTAATTCAGATGACGAAAAAATCGGTTAGACAAGCGCTCTGGAACGGATTAATGTCATTACCCAAGGATCCACTGTATTATTAAAAGTCTTTTAGTTTAGTCCTTCCTTCATGTTGTTTTGTAGATAATTAAAACATGGTTAATAAAAGTGTGACTTTTTTAATAATTTTTTTCCCAGTATCCTGAAGAAATAAAAAATCTGAAGTACAACCATGGCTTTGCTGTTCGAGGTCTTCACTATGACATTAAACAAGGTCTCCTGATGAAGTTGAACCAGTTTCAGCAGCTGCAGTTTGGATCCATATATCAAGGTCTAACTCCCCTTACCCAGGAGCAAGTCTTGAAAATATATGGTAGCCGGTCGCTGTCACTGCATTACATAGAGGGACACATGAGAGGAGTGAGTATCTCATTCAGAGTTTGCATTTAATATGTAAACTGCAGATTTATTTTGATTTATATAAATTGGCAATAATTTTTTTTTTTTTTTTTTGTGGATTTACCCGACCAAATTCTGAAGTTCTTTAAATAAAAAATATATTTAGTGTATTGTAGGCAGTAGGTTGGTAGATAGCAACCGCCCTGCCAAGTGAGTGTAAAACGGAAACCTGTAATTGTTTTACGTGATGGTAGGATCGTTGGTGTCTTTTTTCTGTCTCATAAACATGCAAGATTTCAGGTATGTCTTGCTACTTCTACTTACACTTAGGTCACACTACACATACATGTACAAGCATATACATATATACACACACCCCTCTGGGTTTTCTTCTATTTTTTTTCTAGTTCTTATTCATTTCCTCTTATGTCCATGGGGAAATGGAACAGAATTCTTCCTCCATAAGCCATGCGTGTTGTAAGAGGCGACTAAAATGCCGGGAGCAAGGGCCTAGTAACCCCTTCTCCTGTATAAATTACTAAATTTAAAAAGAGAAACTTTCTTTTTTCTTTTTGGGCCACCCTGCCTTGGTGGGATATGGCCGATTTGTTGAAAAAAAAAAAAAGTGTATATACTATAGGCACATACTGTTGTGTTTCACATAATGAAATACTTTTGAAAGTAATTTCAAATAAGGACCTGAAAACTTGGACATTTTTGCTTAGTGTTCAGTTTGGTATTAGAATAATGACCTCATTCAAGAAGGCAGCCGTTGTCAATAAATAGGGTGGTAATCTGATGGTACATGCAACTGTGAATATTTTTATACAACAGTCAGTATACTACATTTTCATACTGCAGTCAGTATACAGGAGGGCCCTGCTTATACAGCAGGTTAGGTTGCAGGCTACCACTATAAAGTGAAAAATCTCTCTAAAGCATAACATAGCCTTTTTTTTACTTTCAAATGCATATATTAAGTGAGCAATATAGCTAGGCTTAAAAAATGAGTGTACAGTTCACACATTACTTACCTTAGAATATTTTTCTCCATAGTTTATAGTGGTTTTACCTGGAGAAAGTTTCGGGGGTCAACGCCCCCGTCTCTCGGTCTGAGATCAGGCCTCATGGTGGATCAGGGTCTGATCAACCAGGCTGTTACTGCTGGCCACACGCAAACTGACTGGTTAGGTACTGACTTTAGGTGCCTGTCTAGTGATTTCTTGAAGACAGCCAAGGGTCTATTAGTAATCCCCCTTATGTATGCTAGGAGGCAGTTGAACACTCTTGGGCCCCAGACACTTATTGTGTTGTCTCTCAATGTACTCGTGGTGCCCCTGCTTTTCATCAGGGGAATATTACATCTCCTGCCGAGTCTTTTGTTTTTATAGTGAGTGATTCTCATGTGCAGGTATATTTATTGTAGAAAGTCTGAATAAATGTGGAATGGGCATAATTTAAAACTGCTGTATTAGCGAGATACTGTAAAATGAAGCACTGGAAGCGGGACCTTTTTGTACTACATTTTCATACCACAATCAGTATCTCAAACAGAAAATTATAAAATAACTGAATGTTTCCTCTGATTCCATAGTTGTGCTGTGGCAGAAGTCATTGTTAATAAGTGTTCCAAAATTGTAAACCAGGCTGAGATGAAAATTTCAATATGAAGTGTTTTTCTTATTGCCTTTGTGGCATGCAAAGAGTATGTAACCTTTATTTGGTGCATGTACACACCCTCATTAACCCTTTGACTGTTTCGGTCGTATATATACGTCTTAGGAGTCAGTGTGTTTGACGTATATATACTCAAAAAGTCTAGTGGCTTCAAATCAAGCAGGAGAAAGCTGGTAGGCCCACATGTGAGAGAATGAGTCTGTGGTCAGTGTGCACCATATAAAAAAAATCCTACAGCACGCAGTGCATAATGAGAAAAAAAAACTCCGACCATATTTTTGGATTAAAACGCCGACTTTGAGGTATATTTTCGTATAGTTTTTATGGTTATATTCTTGTTTTTGTAGTCACACTTGATAGAATGGAAAGCATATTATAGAAACAGAGGTGATTTTGATTGGTTTTACTATGAAAGGGACCTTGAAATGGAGCTCAAAGTAGAGGAAATGTTTGATTTTTGCTGATGTTCAAGAGTAAACAAATGATGTCATTGTCCAATAAATGCCCAACTAGCCATTCTGATATGTAGTCATGAATGGGTTGACATTATTTATACAATTATTACAATATTGCAGTAGTCTGCTGCATAACAGTAAATCTTCTGTTTTTTGTTTGAATAAAAATTCAAAATAGAAAGCAAGAGTAATATCAGAGGGGCCTGGAAACATGACTGATGAACAAAGAAAATGTTATTTTAGAGCCAGGAATGCCTGCAGTTTTCATTCTGGACCCTATTTTGAAATTGGCATATTTTTTAATTTGCATGAAATTGGCCAAATTGCTAATTTCTGACCACTTTATTGGGTAGCTGAAATTGGTAAATGGGCAGTTTCTTGTACTCAGTTGATAGAATCAATGGAGTTCTAAAGAAATAGTTATGAGTTTGGTTGACTGGAACAATGGAATTAGTTGAAAATAGGGCTCAAAGTGGGCGAAATCGGCCATTCGTAAATATCTCTGAGGTCACTAACTTCATGAGAGTGTAATTCCGTAGGTTTTCCATCAAATTTCGTACTTTTGGTGTCATTACCGTCGGGAAAGATTATCGTTTCATAAGAAAAAATAATTTTTTCTTTTTTTCAAATATTTTGCAACACCAGGAGACACCTGAGGATTTGGGGTTGCAACAGTCAAATGGTTAAAAGGCTACCTCCCCAACCAGCAAACCAGGTGCTGAGGGTCGGATGATGGGGCCTCGTCGTCAGATCAGTACCTAGGTTCAGCCAATGAGAAGGGGGGCCTGGCAATCGTGGAGGTGGCGTGGTCACCACTCACCTTTCCACCCTTGTTATTTCCATTCTAGAGGTGGTTGAACACAGTTGTCCATTCTGTCTTCAGGCTGTGTCTTTGCCTATTGATTCACCGTGTGGTACACATATATTGCAGTACACATATATGTTGCAGTTTAAAAACTGTAGTGTAAAGCACCCTTCTGGCAAGACAGTGATGGAGTGAATGATGGTGAAAGTTTTTCTTTTTCGGGCCACCCTGCCTTGGTGGGAATCGGCCGGTGTGATAATAATAATAAAATAAATATAGCGTACATACTTGTAAATACTTTAATCACTCTTGGTGAAGGAAAATATAATTCAAAGTCATTCAGCTGTGTTTGCGCTGCTCCATGCTCCCATTTACTCCCAGGATAACAGGCCTTGTTGTTTCTGGGTTGTAATATGGGTAGCTTGTCCAGGAGCTGGAGCTGGACTTAGAGCAGGAGTTGAGCCTAGAGTTGAAGCTGAAGCAGGAACATCATACAGCTTGTTGTCTGGCATTGCGTCAGCTTTGCCAAAGCTTTACAAAACTTTGCGTGTCAGCTTTGCATTTTTCTTTCTTTATGGTCGGCCTGCTATTGTGTGATCGTTGACACCTTGCTATTTTGGCATGTCAATTGTGCTCGCTTTGCTATGGTCAATCTTGCTGTTGTGTGAATATTTTGCAGTTGGTTTTGCTATTGCTATTGTATGTGCATACTCTGCATTCGTGTAAGCCTTGCTAGCATGAATCTGCAGTTGTACTGTGCTTAGCAGCTTGACCATGTTGTAAGCAGCGGGTTGGGGATTAAATGCCACCTTTAAGAGTCTGACGATTAGTGACTGAGTTTACTCTAATAAACCTGCATAAGTTCTCTCTACAGCTTTGTTGGCGTATTGCTTGATCTATTGGCATTGATCATCAAAGAACTCTGTGGCACAAATTCGTAATAAGCTTCGCAGTAAATTAAATACAGAAGCAGACATGGCGCAGTAGATTGACGTGTCCCCAGCTACAGGAGCTATTAATAGATCTCCACTTAGGTTTCTGCAGAATGGTCGAGACACACCTGAGCAAAACTAGCAGCCTGGTGAAGCAAGAGGTGTGTCGAGTTTGTCTCAGGGTGAGTGCTTCATTGGTGTGGCATGCAAAGAGTACGTAACCTTTATTCGGCGCATGTACACGCCCTCATTAAAAGGCTACCTCCCCAACCAGCAAACCGGGTGCTAAGGGTCGGATGATGGGGCCCCATTGTCAGATCAGTACTTAGGTTCAGCCAATGAGAAGGTGGGTCTGGCAATTGTGGAGGTGGCGTCGTCATCACTTGCCTTTCCACCCTTGTCATTTCCATTCTAGAGCTGGTTGAACACTGTTGTCCATTCTGTCTCCAGGCTGTGTCTTTGCCTATATTGTACATACTTGTAAATACTTATAATCACACTTGGTGAAGGAAAATATAATTCAGTCATTCAGCTGCATTTGTTCTGCTCCTTGCTTCCCTTTACACCCAGGATAACAGGCCTTATTGTTCCTGGGTTGTAATAGCCTTTTTTTTTTTTTTCTTCTTTTTTCTTTTTTGCTGTTTTATTGTCTCGGTAGTAGTTAATTGCAACTTGTAATTGCAAAGAAAAAAACCTTACCAGAAGGAAATTAATGGCAGAGGGTTACTTATCACCTGGGAGAGGAGGATTGGAGAGAATCAGGGAAGAAATGGGAGAGAAATTAGCTTTTCTCTCCCATACATAATTATTCAAATTCAAATTCAAAGTTTATTCTCTATAAAGATTACAATGTTGAATTTACAGAATTTGGTTGTTGTGTGGTTTACATGTAGTTAAATAATGATTACAGAGTGTACCACTAGAACGCCTAGCATGGGTAGGCATTTCGGGCAGACTTAGTTTAATTCTTTATTTTAAAATATTACAAATTATGAGGTAAGTTGGTATTATGGCTAAGTGACTAAATACTAGTTTGTGAGTTTAGCAATGTGAATGCTTTTGTTTTGGCACAGTACATAGTTTCAGTATTGGAGTATCATAGGATTCATTATTTTAAGATTGAGATTAATATTTCTGTTTAGGGTCAAATGG